ATAATGCTGTATATTTTAAATCACTTTTGATAGCAGCCTACATTTCTACTCACCAGCAATTACCATGTGGCACGGTTTAAAAGATGTGAGTTTTATGTAAAAAAGTCAACTCAAATGAACTCTTGTTCTCAATGATGACATATTATCCTCTAATTAAATCAGCTAAGATAGCTCTGTTTGCAAGGAGCATTCTAAAATTAATTCCAAAATCAAGAGTTTAACAAGTGGCACTCCTGATAGCCCAGATTTTAGATTGCTTTGATACCTGGAATTAATGGGATTCTTTTAGAAGTCCAGTGACTCAACAAATCATAAAAAAAAAAAAAATTGAAGTTCAGCTAACTCATTTATACCTCTCACACTGTTCTTCGGAAGGATTTTAAAGACATCAGCTAACTCAAGAGAGGACAAAGAAATCAGAAATCTATGAAGCAGACAGTTAAATGGAAATTAAATAATTTATTTCAAAGTAGGATATTTAATGTCTATAAAAGAGTAAGAGTTACCAAACACTTTTTCTGTTTATGTTAATGTAATAGCTACATACAAATTGATTAAAAAAAATTGTTTAATGGCGAATGTATTAAATAAGTTAGTTTGCTGAGGGAACAGAGGGAGGGAGGACAGGTTCCTTGGGAAACCCACCAAAGAAAGGAAAGGACTGTTGGACAAAGATCAGGTAAAATGAAGCATTACATATCCTGAAATTTGAAAGCAATAAAGAAGGACTGAAAAAAGTCACTAGTATATCAGCAGAATAGAAGAGAATATTTTCTTAATTTGATTTTGGGATAGATTTTTAGAGTATTGAGATAAATTCATATTCAAGAGATGGGAAAGAGTTTAATGCTTTAATATCCACCTGTAGCCCAGCTCTCAAAACACCTGAGACACAAAAAGGGACAAATACTGAGAAAACAATTATATTTTTTCCTAATCTATGAAGATAAATTCCCTCCTCCCTCTACCCCTATGATAACTTCCTATAGCAAACTTTGTTGCACTAACCCATTATTCATGCAGGCCTGGTATACTGAAAAATACCAATACGTATTCTTTAGTTTCCATCTTTTATATAGCCACAGAGATACAATAAAAAAAAATCAGGAAAACATAAACATGATCAATTTAGTGATGGTAGCATGGCTAATTCCTGAGAACATACATTTCAAAGTGATTTTGCAAAATTATAGATATTGCAAGTAAATAGAAAAATATGCAGCACAAACTGTGAGGGAATACATATGGTGATTGATAATACCAGGCTATGTACCTAGTAGATGAAGAAAGAATTGATTTTGCACGCATTCATTCAACAAATACAGAATGGCAGGAGGCAGGATTAAGTCTAGGACTCTGGTACCTGGAGTCAGAACTCCTGAGTTGGAATTCTAGCCTCACCACTTTCTAGCTGAGTCATCCTTGGGCAAGTTAAATATTTGAGTCTCTCTGCTGCTCAGTCTTTTCATCTATAAAATGGGGATAATGACGATATCTATAAAATTATTAAAAGGAGTCAATAAGGCAGTATCTAATGTTTTAGAAGCGGGTAATGTTTTTTAAACAGGTGCTCGGCCTGTAGTAATTTCCAAATAAGGGATTGTTAAATACAGCTGAATTACATAACTAATGAAAAAACGTGGGCATGTAGGCCAATAAGTCACCATTAGTCAGCTACAAGGAGTTATAATTAATGACTCCAAGAAGGCTCAAGGCATAGTGGCACAGTAAGTAAGCATAAAACACATTCTCTAATTGCCCAGTCTTTCAAGCAGATACTCTTTTCAGTTGTTGAGTCCTTTTAGAAGTTTAGAGCCATCAAGATGAGTTGGGTTGGAAAATGAGATAATATTATGGATGCTCAAAGGAAAGGCTGGAATGTTTCATACCTACCTTTGATCAAAATAACATTCCTAACAAAGAACTTGATGATCCACTGCTCAGTATCTTCCCAGAAGACAGAACAGAAGAAAATAAGTGAGCACACTGGGAAGGCTTTGGGCTAGTTATCTGGAAACATTTCGATACCACAAGAATTACTAAGTATTAGAATGGATGGCTGAGTGGGGCTCCTGGGTCTTCTCCTTTGGAGGTCTTTCAAACAAGGACGGATAGTCTATCTGATCTGCCTGGGATGGCTTAAGATCAGGGCTGAGTGAAGATTAATGGTGCAACCTGCCCCTTAAAGGCCTCCCAAGCACTCTCTGAGAGCATAACTTTATATATTACCCATCACAGCCCCTCATCTATTGAGTTTGAAGAACTCCCTTTTATCCTAGAATAGGAAAGGACAACACTATTTCACAATTGTGACTTCTGAGTAGAACTTTAATAATGTCATGATGAAACATAATGTCCTTATTACTTCTCAGTTATTTTACCAGGCAAGCTACCTGCAAATATCTTTCAGTTAGAAACAGCTCTCATGAATCTAAATTATGAACAGCAGTTGCTTTAAAATTCATGTGCCCTGGCCGACTGATGGCATATGCCATTTCTCAAGCAAACCATTAAAAATCCAAACAAGGCAAAGGATGAAAAAGGAGTTTAAAGAAAGGATAACCACCATATACTGGATAATGAAATGTAAATAGTATCAGGAACTAGGGAAGAGCATATGAGTGTTTTCATTTAATAATGGGACAACTTTCCTAAGCGATTATTCCAACAACATGTAGCATTGAGTAGTTCACTGTAAAAAAAATTATACATATACACATAAATATATATATATACACACACACAATTACCTTTTACTTCATTTGTTTCCCTATCAGATGTGCCTCTGACCCCACAGTGACCTGTATCTTGATCATTTCCACCAGCATCAAAGCACACCAGGGTTAAGACAAAGTCAACAGTACCCTTAGTCCTAGAAAGTGATTTTAACAATAGTGCACGTTTCAGAACTTCATAGCTAATTAGTGAACACTGTGATTGTCAAGAGGTGGAGGTAAAAGGGGAAGAAAAAAAAAACCCCGTAGTTAAAAATCTACTAAAGGATTTATTTTAACCACTGGAAATGTTTTCAGGAAAGTAAATGGTGAGTACAGAAACTATTTACCCTGAAAACCTTCATTTTGATATTAAGGAGATTTGCATCATGCTAAGGATGAAGTGCAGCCTCCTGAAATTCCCATAATCCACTAAAGAGTACTGAAGCAATTTAAAAATACTTAACTATTTTCTTCTCTGAGATCATATCTGAAATCATGCTGGGACATATCTGTGTGTTTAAAAGATACAATTTTTCTGAAAAAGCCCAGGTTAGAGGAGAAAAAGTTCCTAGAAGTAGTGAGCCATACTATAAAACCTTTAAAAGTTGAATTCCCTGAGATTTGGGGAGGAGAAAAAAAGCGAAGCTGATCCTTATCAATTAATTAAAAAGAATGAAATAACAGTAGACAAAGGGGAAGGAGAGTTAAACTTAAGGAGCTGTGGGGGCAGTAGCTCTCTCTTCACTGATTAACAAATTAAGGAGTTCTGGAAAAGGGAGAAGAAGTGACAGGGATAGAAAAGTAGTCATAATTCACCACAGGTTCCGCCTCCGACTCACCAGAGGCTGGCTACGTCTGGCTCAGAATTGAAAAAGGCTCCCTGTGTATCATGCTCGGCGCTGTTAGCGTGTGTATGGGCTTTTTTTACCCCCTCCAATGCCTAAATTTCTATAAATGTGTTCATTTCGGTATAAGTAAAAACCTTCACTTGTAGAGTCTGTAGATCAACCGTAATAAAACAGTAATTGCATTACATATCGAAACTATGATGTTTTAAGATATCTGCAAAAAGCTTTCACTCGGCGACCAGCTCTTTGGCGAAATGCAGAGAGGCTGGTGAAAGGCAGCGTTTTGATTTGACCATCTGAGGTCACCGAGGACTTCAACGGACGGGTTTGAGCAGCCCGCGCCCTCGCAGCATCTCCTGGCCTCTCTCTGCCTCCCTCAGCTGTGCTCTCTCGCAGCCACAGGATTATCTCTCCCCGACACGTTTCATTCACAGAGCCCCAGAGAAGCTCCCCATTCGGTTGGAGCTAAGAGCCGGAAAAGACGCACTCGGGCTGCTGCGCAAGTTCTTGCAGCCCGAGTGCTATCCACACACTGGCACCGAGAAAGGGGGTGGGGGCTCTCGAGCTCTCGGAGCAGGAATGCTAGTGGCCCGGCACGCGGGGTCCGGGGATGCCGGGACAAACCCACTAGTGAGCCACCCGCTTAAGTTGGCGCAGCTTCTGAGAACAGGCGGGCGGGCGGGCGAGCGCGCTCAGGCCCAGGCGCCGCGCCGGGTGCCGGGGGAGTCCCCCGAACCGCGAGTGACCAACCGCAATCGGGAAAGCACTGAGAACCCGTAACGCGAAAGCCCGCCCCAAGCCCGAAACTGGCAGCCCGTGAACTCCCCAAACCAGCCCGGAACTGCAGACGTCCGAAGGCCGGGTCCCCCGCGGTGGGGTCGCCCCGCCTCGCCCGCCCCCGACCCGGGCGCCGTGCGTTCTGCCTCCCGGAAGGATCGGGGGAGCAGAGCGAGCGGCGAGGGGAGCCCTCCGCGTCTCTCCATCGCCCCCGCCGGCGCGAGGGCGGGAGTGGGGAAGGCGCCACTCAGACTGTGGCGCTGGGCAAACTGCGGCCGCAGTTCTTCCAAGTTTGCCTGAGCGAGAGGCGCGGGGTGGGAGCCCCGCTCGGCGACCTGCCCTCGCGCCGCGGCCGCCCCCGGGTGTCCCGGGCTCCCTGGCCGGCCCAGCCCGAGCCCACAACGAAGGGGGCGCGGGGGCGCCAGAGCCGAGGGAGGGCGGGCGGACGCTCCCGCGTGTGCACACAATGAGGCAGCTGAGACGCACACCTTCCCCGCGGGAGCAGCCGCCGGAGCATCCGCCGGCGTCCGGGAGAGCCCTGACAGAAAGTGAACACCAACAACTCAGCAACAGGGGGGAAGAAGGAGGGCGCCGGGCGGCCCGGGGGACGGACGGCCGCCGAGGGCTGCAGCCTGCTGGGCCGCGCGCCCGCGCTTACCTGCGATCTCCTGGTAGGGAATGTCCGCCAGGCTGAATCCCTTGGCACCGTACGCCTGGCGGACCTCGCCGCAGCTCCGAGCCTTCACCTCCGCCCCGGCCGGCAGGGACAGCAGCAGCCCGGAGAGGGGAAGAATCACAGCCCCGATCCAAGAAGGCATGATGCAACGTGCAAATCCAGCTCGGTAAACCCCAGGGCCCGTGCGCTCTTCACCTTGCCCCTCGAGCCGAAAGCCCGCCAGAGCCAGCGGCGCGCTCCTCGCCGCTGCCCAGCGTCACCCCCTTCCGCCAGCCGAGGGGACGAGCAGCGCAGCCCTCTGGACTGCGCTCAGCAAACTTTTATAAGCCAGATGGAGGATGGCAAGCCAACCAGGGCTGGCTGGGGAAGCAGCCGCCTTGCTCCTCTAGCCCCCCAGGTCGAAAACGGCGCAATAAAAAACGAGGGAGAGGAGGCAAAGAAATGTTTTAGAAAACCACCCTGGGGGTTCGGAGCCGCGATCCGACTTCCGAGCCGCAGAATCGTAGAGCGCTACGAGCTCGGCTCGCCCGAGCGTGCGGCGAAGGTGGGAACGCGCGCCGGCTCTCCCGGAGAGGGAGGTGGACAGGCGAGTGCGAGTGTGTGTCGGGGCGAGCGCGGGTTCTTGGGGACGCGTGTGCGTGGAGGTATGTGTTGGGGATAGACGGGATCCAGGGGAAACCTCAGCTTCACACAGGCTGAGGGAGCCTGTGAGAGTCCTCCTGAAATAGGAAGAGCGAAATCCCGGAGACAGACACTGGAGGCTAGAGGGAAGGAGAAAGGAGGGGAGAGAGAGAAACGTGCTACACTGAGCACAGCCGAAATTCGGAGGCAGAGTCGAAGGCAAAACCTGGACTGGATCTCTTGCTACTGGGTAGAAGAAAAAGGGAAAAAAGGAAGCGGTTCTGTTTTCTCACTCCCTTCACATCCTTCATACTGATCCGAAACGTTTCCTTTAATGACTTAAGTAAGTAATCTAGAAAGACGAAGTATCTTAAGTCGTTAACATATGTGGTCTTAAACTATGCTTTTGTGGACTTAAAGGCCCACGCAGTTCCAATTGTTGCTCTAAATATGAGCAACAATTTATGACCTAGTGAAACACAAAGCCCGCGTAGAAATAAACATACGGGGAACCCCTGACATTCAGAGCACAATCATCGCTGTAATTAATGGTCTCATTTCTGTTTGGCTTTGTTTTTTATTTTCTAAAGACAATTTGTGCACACGGGGACCAGTAGTTTTTTATTATTTTTTTTTTAATTTTTGGTTTTGGACTCATAAATTTCACCCTTTTTAATTTCAAGTATTACATAATCTTGGATCAGAAATCCTTATGCTTAGGTTCTAGTGTGTGGAGGAACAGGAAAGCTAAGGAGAAGAAACACAACAGGGAAGCAATGGGAAAATGAGAGCAGGGGTCAGTGGGGTGCACTAAGGAAGATACTAGGGAGGAGAGTGATTTCTTCCTTCCCTCTCCCCAATCTCACATACTGGACTTAAACATTTTCTTCCAAGTTAACAGAATTCTCTACTGGGGAATTGACTCACTTTCTTCCCATCTTACACTCAAGTTTTGTGAAATGGAATAATAATGAAAATTCAGGGTAGGCTAATTTCTTATTGACTTTCTTATGTTAATGAACTCTGCTAAGCAGAAGCTGGTGTGGAGACCCAAAGCTTCTGCAACTACTAAGGTAGTTAAATCCAAGACAAAATAATAATAATAATAATAATGCTTACTCACTTCCATGGTCAAATGTATTTTGGCCAGCACATTACTCAAAAATTGCTGTAGGGTAATGTCCAGTTGTATGGAGCTCCCCTATAAAGCCACACATGCAGATGTTTTTCTGATGATGGCTGTTAATGACCAGAATGAATCATGAAATTTAAGTCATTCTATTTGTTATCATCACAACCTGTTAGGTACATCTTCTTCCTCTCTTTGATTAATTCCTCCTCTCTTACTCCACTGAAAAGGGACTCAAATATGATACAACCGCATTTAAGCCATGGAAATGCTTAAAAATATAAGGCTGACTTGTTTACAAATTGACTTTCTCTTCTTCAAAACTCCATAACTAAACATTTCTTTCTGAAAACAAGTCACATACACGTTTTTCTCTCAAATTTTTCACACGGTTTTTGTCTTCATGATATTGTACTGTCTGACCTTAAGTCACTGAATTCATTTTCCTCCAAGTCTGAAATCAAGATGAGAAGAAAATCTACTCTTTGTGGGAAAAGGATAAGATGGGTATGATTAGAAATTGCTGTAACCCAGTCATTATTTCTATGATTTTGACATGACTTCATTCGAACTTCTGTTTCTATCATTGCCAGGTGATAAGCATTGTACACTCCTGAGCAAGGGGTAAAGCAATAAAAAAGATGTTGGGGGCACCTGGGTGGCTCAGTTGGTTAATCGACTGCCTTCGGCTCAGGTCATGATCCTGGAGTCCCAGGATCGAGTCCCTCATCTGGCTCCCTGCTCGGCAGGGAGTCTGCTTCTCCCTCTGACCCTCGCCCCCTCATGCTCTCTCTCTCTCTCTCTCATTCTCTCTCTCTCAAATAAATAAATAAAATCTTTAAAAAAAAAGATGTTGGCGGTGAAGGAAGAATGGGTAAAAACATAGTATAAGTGGTTTAAATTATTTAAAAATCGATGCATCATTAAGTATTTAATGAGCATTCAATGCAACTATACAGAACTAGGTTATTGTACATAGTTCCTACACTTATAAAATGACCTTAGGAGTTATGGCAAGGCTAGAATATGGAAAGAATTATAACTTAATCAAGCATAAATAAAGTACTTTAATGCCATCAGGAGGGTGAAACGATGCAGAGTAGGTTTGTGAACTCCACTCAGACCAAAGAATTAAGTAACTTACCTTACTGGTAGGTAAGGTACCCTTACCTACTTGGCCCACTTGTTGGGTAATTCAGCACTGTTTGAAATGGTGTAAGAGGAGCAAAGTCAAACTTCCCAGCTAAGGGCAACAGCAGAGCCTACACGAGGTATTGGAATGAACACTGAATGACATGCAAGTTCATAGAAGAAACTAGAAAGAAGAGAGCTCTTATTACTAAGGAGAAGTTGGCATTTGGTTTAGATAGGAAAAAAAAGTTTAGCCAAAGACCTCAAACTCTAGCAGTAGTGTTTATATTGTATGTAATAGGAAAAATGTTAGGACACTGAAGAACATCAGACCAGAGGAAGCAAGCACAGAGAAGCAAGAGAAAGGTAAGAAAGAGAAACACATAGAGTTCCGCCATAATGGTAAAGGTTTCAAGAGATTGCAACCAGAATAGGAGGATAGTGAGCAGAAAGAAGGTGAAGGTAAATTTTGCAGAAAAGATTAGCATGATTTTTTCTTTGGTTCAAGACACACACACACATACACACAATAATTATGAAGACTTATTTTAAAAATGTGAGTCTCACTGGGAATATCTTTATTAGGGCAATAAGATTGTTGTTTATACACCATTTTTGTATCCCAGCTGTTTTCCACGACCCCTTCTGGGCATAAGATGAATGGAATCTCAGAGACTTTGAGTTGTAGAGGGAAAAAAACTAAGTCTTTAGGAGCAGCCATAGTTAATAGGCAAGCAGAGCAGCCCATGATCTATTTCATGGTCAAGGGCTCTTCCTTCCTACCCTAAGTCTGATTGCATCTGGGGCCATTGTGCCAGCACCAAAGGATGAATCATATTTGGCCTAAGCATGGCGATCATTTCCCTTTCCTATCAAATAGGAGTGGGCCTAAGATCCATTTCTGGCCAATGAGATGTAAGGAGATTTCTGATGAACATTATTTTTCCTAGTTAAAGGCAAGAACTATAGGAGCAGAGAGGTCTTTTTATCTCAGCTTCCTGCCTTCTTAGAGCTAACTGAACATCGGGTGACTAGGAGACAAGACACCCCTCACAGGCAAAGAACAGAGGATAGCCCCTAGATTTTTGATTTCCTGTTTGACCCACCAAAGGAGCCCTTGGACCGCCAACCTCTGGACTTCTTGTTAAATAATTCATAAATATCTTGGTAGTTTATACCACTGTCAGGTGGTTATTCTGCTATTTACAAATGAAAGCAATATAAATGTATAGGGCAAACTAAAGGAAGAACAAGAGACGTGAAGGCAAGAGACAGGGGTTAGTTGCAAATGTAAGAAGAGAAGAAAATTAGGTAGCTCCATGGCATCTAAGTTAGATTTTCAGTCATGAAGCAAATCACAGTAGACATCAAGGACAAGGAAGGCAGAGAAAATGGTACTTAGATAATGATGAAGAGACTTACTGGAAACTTCAACGGAGACATTTTAATAAAACAGTGGGGTGGATGCCAGACTCCATGGAATTGTATATGAAGTGGATGGATAGAATGGAAAAATCAAGGTATAACTAATTACACTGTGGTAGCTCTATGTGGAAGAGGGGAAAGGGTAGTCAGCGAATGCTTTCCAGAAGAAGCTTCTAAGATTACAAGGAAGAGAGACTAGACATAGAGATTGAAAGTCACTATGATATTATTTGGTGTGTTGGTTTCAAACAGTTCTCTTTTTTTATTTGCATTCTGTAAGTTTTCTACAGGAAATATGAGTTCTTTTTTATGATGAGAAACATTTAAAAATAAATAGTCACCCTCTCAACAAATGCAAATAACATTCATTTTATAAAATAAAGGAGTCTTACCATTATCTCATATATGAGATAATATATGTTATATTTATATTATATATTTGTATAAATATAAAACAAATGGCTGTTAATACTTTTCTCAGCAACAACCTTGTGCTATGAAAGTTTTTTTTAAAAAAAGACACAATTACAGAATTTACTGTTCTTTTGTTCAGTTATACCAACACATGAATGAGAAACAGCATGGATTTTAGGATTTGGGTTTTTTTCCTTTGTGTATTTAGATCAAGTAGGACAAATAAGTTCAAATAAAATCTCATGAAAACAAGAGAATGGTTTTCACGTGACTATCCCATGTCTTAGCTTGGCACAAATCAAAATCACTTAGTTAACCTGCCTCTTGAAAAACAGAGCCTGTAATGAAAAAGCTGTCAGAAATTTAACAACAGCAACTCTGCCTGGTGCCTGGATAATGGGAAGGTTGCTGAGTTACAGGGAAAGAAAAGGTAAACTTGGGTGAATGATGACCAAAAATGGTGGTGAAAATAATGCTTTATTTTTCTTACCAAGGTTTATACCCAAACAAAATGTAATAGTCCGTTTAACACTTATTGAGCCTTAAGAGTATACCTAGTATTAATATAAACCAATTAAAATTATATCTTTATGGCAGCTGGGGGTCTGCTGGGTTACTAATGATCTCTTGGGAAAAGCCAAACACCAAACACTGAGGGACAACAGATTCTTCTTGTCTTCCAATATTCTTCTAATGTGAAGCCAGAGATATTTGGCTTCAGTGGAGGAGGGAACTGTGGGATCTGTTTAATCAGATTTTTGCCTAAGAGTGATGTCAGAGTTTAGCCCAAGAGAATTGAAAGAGCTCTAATTATTTAATCATATGTCGTTTCCATATATTTTGGAAGAACAGACAATGAAAGTATTTCACATATTCTTAAGCACTACCCATATTTACTTGAAATATTACTGATAATCATGAAGAAGGTGTAAATAGAAAATATATTAAGACATTACAATGATTTAAAATGCTATTTTTAATTTTTTGTATTATTAAAGATCCAGGAGTCCACTCTCCACTGATTC